CCTTTAAGATTGACTGGTTTGACCTCCTAGCAGTTCTTGAGGTAGATTCCTGTAAAAAACAAACTCCAAAAATTTGATTATTTCCATACATTATTTTCTGTCATTCTTTTGTATAACTTTCTGGAGGTTTGGTACCTAGGAAACATACAGTGAGTTAATTATTTTATTATCCTATATTTTAAGTTCCTTGCTAGGTCTGTGTTCACTGGTAATGTCACCAGATGCCAGGTTAGGGAATTGAGGACTCTCCATCATATTCACTCCCTTTCACAAGCCTGTTTGTTTGTTTATACAATAAAACTGCCCATCTCACAGCAGTGATTCTGGGTGGCGTACAAACATTCAAAACATCCCCAAAGTACAAACTCATTATGCCCCAATTAAACAGTAACCCCCCAAAACAAAACCACATCACCGAAACCACACAACTCATTTTAACTACCTAGCCCCAAAGCAGGTATTGCTTGCTTGTTCTGTCAAAAAAAGTTTACAGTAAGAAAAAAATTAACCCATTAAACACATATTTCCTAAACCACAGATCTGAGCACAAGGGGAAAAAAACTTTGGAGGGACACTTCGGAGAGATTTTGGGGTCTCTGTAATAAAAAGGAAGCATAGTTCATTGAATGATGTGCATAAAATTAGAATAAATGAAAATAAAACAGTTTTTTTCTGGGTTTCCTTATATAGCATGTTCCTAGGAATTTTGAGGAAAGAGATTAGGATAACAACCTTCATTTTCTATATACACATACAAGCTTACCCATTACAATGTTCCATTTTGGGTAAGCAATGCTATGCAAAATCCAGAAAGGGAGCAGAAATAATAAGCCAAAGAAATTAAAGGCATGACACAAGAAAAGACAAAATAGCTGAATCTAGTTTATACCTATACCATTTATTATACCTCCTCAAGTTCTGCTGGAGAGCAAAATCTGGTCTGTATACCCCCTACATAGAAAAAAGTCATAATGCACTTCCCAGATTTTGCACATTGTCATCTCTCACACCCTCACAATATCACAATTCTCCTGAAGACCCTCCCTGGCACAATGAACAGACTAATCCCCCTCTTGTTTTTGCATTAACTCTTGCTACTTTTCCCTTGTTTTTTTGTTTGTATGTGTCTGGGTGGATCTGTGTCTATGTATCTTCGAGTCAGTTTCTGATTCCTGGTGACTGCCTGGACTAGTCCCTGCAGTTTTCTTGGCAAGGTTTTTCAGAAGCGGTTTGCCATTGCCTCCTTCCTAGGGCTGAGAAGGAGTGACTGGCCCAAGGTCACCCAGCTGGCTTTGTGCCTAAAGCGATAGAACTCACAGTCTGCTGGTTTCTAGCCTGATGCCTTAACCACTACACCAAATTGACTCTCCAGATTTCCCTTGGTACAGGGCATCAGTAATAGGGTTCTTCCAGTTGTCCAGCACAGAAACATTCTTCACAAACAAACAAAGTTACACAACCACTCCTTAAGCAAGCCATATCTGTCTTGTAACATTTCTCTGGTTGCATCATCTATAGCTGCAGCCTTGTCATTTTAGCATTTCTTTCAATTCAGTCTTTGACATATCACTGCTATTCCCATACAAATCTGTAAAATATTCGTTCTGGCATTCCATCACTTCAGTTTCATCCCAAATCATTTTATCAGTTTTATTTTTAATCTGCTCTGCTGGAAGAGCTTGCCTTAAAGAGGCAAGAAGAGCTGGAAGAGCTTAAAGAGCTGGAAGAACTTAACCTCTTCATTCATTTCCAAAACAGTTTTTTTTTAATTTCCATCAAAATTATTCTGCATTTCCTCTGTTTTTTTTAATCTTAATTATTCTTTGTTTTCTTTGGAGCTATCTTTTTTCTCTGTTCACATTATACACTATCTTTCTCTCATTCTCAATTTTGCATCAGTTATTCTCTTTTGGACCTTATTTTTTCATCCACACCAAGCATCCTTTTTTTCATGTTTCCCAGTACTGATATAGACTACATTATCTCATGTCCCACTTAAATTTCAAGTAGCTTGAAGCTATCTGATGGGCTCATGTCCATGGCAAAATTTGAATAAGCCTACTTCCTGAATGTACACTGAATGTTCTTGAAGAGTTATAATTTACTACAACCATTCCCAGTGTGGTACCCTCTCAGGAAATTCCAGAAGAAGTCTTGGAGAAGGTTGAACCATGTATAAATGAGACTTCCAGTCTGGTGGGAAGGGGGGTGGGTCACATGACTTATCTCTCCATCATAGGTCACTCATAGCTTTTGGTTACTATTGATTTATTTGCTTGTTAAGCATTATACTGCTCACTACTGAGGCCTCTCAGCAATTCGTACCATTCCACTTGCTATGAAATGTATCTCAAGTACATAGAACCTGTCCCAGCTCTGGACTTAGTCTTCATTCTTGGAAGACAATGATAATCTTAAATACTTAAATACCGAGACTAAATTATTTAGTCTTAAGACTGCCCTGTTTTTAAGGCTCAATTATTGCAATATTTGCTACTCCTCAATGCAGTTGGAAGCATTCCCCCACATTTGTACAGGAGCAGAGCTCTTTGGCTCTTAATTTCATTATATTTGCCTTTCAATGCTGCTATAGGCCACCCTCCTGCATTAAACCTCCTGAGATCTCAGATGTGTTCAGTGTACCCAACTCATATTAGAAAAATCTCAGATTAGGGAAATGGTTGGGTTGTGATTCAAATATATGTTGGATTTTTGCTGTGGTCCCAAGTATGGATATACAGTATCTGCTGCACTCAGAATTGGAAGCCAAGAAGTCCTTTGGAACAGGTATGGTATCTGTTGACACCTTCCTAAAAAAGCTGCATTTTTTCCGGGGTTGCATGGCAGCTGTGTCATTCCAGGAAAACATAGGTTTGAGTTAAAGAAGTGCCAACAGCACTCCCATACTTGTATACAGATTTTTTTCCTACTGCTGTGGATTATAGACATGGGGTTGGTGATTTTATCAATGTTATATATATTTTATTGATGGTTCAGTGTCATGTATTTATCATCAACGTTTGGATAATGCATACTGTTGGGAGTCTTTGGAGGGCAGCAGTACACAAACACCTCAAATTGATAAGTAAATGCATTTTACCAGAATTGTCTCCTATTCTTCTTGTCCTCCCTGACTTTGTATAATAAAGTGAGTTTTATAGCAATTCTGTGAAAGTCCATAAAAGAAGATTATTCCGTTAACAACTTTAAAGTAATATTCTTGGGGGGGAGGGAATACACTAAAGCCCAAACAATTCTAGCAGTGCAGGCTTGGACTGCCCAGCTGTATTTTGAAATGCATCTTTAGTTTGATCCAATAGAATTACTCTCATGAACTTGCCTGAATATACACAACAACTTTATATGAAATGAGCTAGTGATGAATTGAAAGTCTTAATCTTCTGTGTATCTTGTATACAGAAACCCTGAATGGAATGTATTCAGTAATTTTAGCACAGATTCAGAAAATATAGTGCTGCATTTTGGCATCTCAGTGCTTTTTCTCTTTCTTTTCACAGCCATCCCTTCCTGTCCTGTATACATTATCCAGCCAAGCTACACATGAAGCCGTTCATCTCCTTTGTAGGATGTTGGTCTTTGATCCAGTGAGTTGGTGCTTTGCGTTATATATTTAAAATAGGAAAAGAGAAGCAGGGGGTCATAAACTCTGACAAAAGGTATACAAGTGGTCCATAAAATATACAGGAAAAAAGACTTTGAGAAGCATGTGGCAAAGAACATTAAGACAAACAACAAATATCCAAAGGTGTGTCAAAGGAAGATAGAAAAATAGCAGAAAAACCTAATGAATTCTTGGTTCTGACCTCACTGCTGAGGGCATAAGACAAATACTAGTGGAGTCTTTGGTGTTCTCTGAGCGTGGTTGTTTGCTTGCAGACGTTTCATTACCCAACTAGGTAACATCATCAGTGCTGCACCTGAGCTGCATATATTCTCTTCTGTTGGAACAAAGAGTAGTGCCTGAGCTGGCTTTTTCAGAGGGAGGAGATTGGATAAACAGACAAATAGAGATAATATAAGATAAATTTAGGAGCCAGATTGATGAAATAGAAATAAATCCCTGAGTCCTGGTGATGTCCACTCAGAACTTCTCAAAGAACCTAAATATGAAATTGTTGTTTTTCACAAGAATATACAATCCTATGCAAATGTTGGCATCTGTTCCTAAGGACTGGAAAGGAGCTGTTGTGACCTATTTTTAAAAAGGGATTGAGGGGCAATAAAGGAGAGTAAAAGCCACTTAGCTTGTGATTTGTTCTAGAAAAAATGGTTGACAGTATTTTTAAAGAGAAAATAAGAAAACGCAAAGCAAACCTGGAAGTCCTATCTCAATAACCTTCTACATATTTATGAAACTTTCAGTAAGCATGTAGACAAAATGACCCAGTATTATATGCTTGGATTATCAGAAAGGATTTTGAAAAAAATCCATCGCCACAGGCTCCTGAGCAAACTCAGTTGCCATAAGTTAAGAGGAGATATTGTGGATCAGTAATTGATAAAAATAGGAAATAAGGAAGAAGAATAAATTATGAGATATGCAATGGTGTCCCCAGGGATTCACATCAGGACCGATGTTTTTTAACTTTATATAAATTATCGGAAGTTAGGGGTGAATAAGGAAGTGACCTTATTTGGTATTTCCTGATATTACCAACTGATAGGTGGACAAATTAAAAAAGAAATTGTCTCCTCACATGATTCCTAGGCTTCAAAATAGCAAATGCAGTTCAGTGTGTGTGCAAAGTGATCTATTCTGGCATGAAAGGAATATTGAAGTCATGGATAGCTCAATAAAAACGTTAACTCAGTATGCAGGTGCAAAGAGGCAAATTCCTTACTTGGAATGGAAGAAAGAATTGTTGATATAATCATGCTCTTATGGCAATCTGTGATGAGACTGTATTTGAAGTATTGTGCACAGTTCTGGTCACTTCACCTTAAGAAAGATATATAGAGCTAAAAAAAGAGCAAACAAAGGCAACCGGATGATTAAGAGGCAAAAAAGCTCCCTTGTGAGAAAATACTACAGCAGTTTAGGCTCTGTAGCTTGGAGTGAATGAGGGAAAGGATGGAGGATAGAGATTGATAAAATCATGCAGAAATAGGTATCATGGAGAAAGAGACATTTTCTCCCACTCTCACAGTGTTAGAATGAACTCAGAGTTATCCATGAATCTAAATGTAGGTTGATTTAGAGTTGACAAAAGGAAATATTTCGTTGCATAGTTTAACTGGAATTTTTATCAGCCATTATGATAATGGCAGCCAATTTCAATGGTTTGAAAAGTTGACAGGACAGGATAGGTCCTTGGAAAATCAGGCTATTGGTAGCTACAAAAGTTGATGGCTGTTCTATACCTCCTGAATCATGGGCAGTAGGCCTTTAATACTGTTTCCTGGGAAGCAAGCCTCCATTCCTGGTTTGTGAGCTTCTCATATACCTTCATTTGGCCAGTGTGTGCCAAATAATGCTGGACTAGATGGATCTGTGGCCTGTTCCAGCAGGGCCTTATGTAGGGAAATCAAGTGATTTAACTTCAGTAGTTTGCAAGTCCTATGCCTGGATAGATTAGATGAAGGTCTGAAACAATATTAAAGATTTTCTAGCTCTACTGAAAGAAAATTAGATCAATTATGATTGTGTACTAACATAGAGAAAAGAAGATGGTACATAGGTCCAAATTCTTACCTGTGGGACAAGGAAGTAGTTATAGGTAAGAATATATAGTTGGGCTCATAGTACTTTGTCTCCTACTACTTTGGCAATAAAAGAAAGAGGCTACAGTAAAGAGAGGGGGTTCTCTTTTTTTTTAAGTCACACATGAACTACTATTTTAGTAGCAAAAGGAAGGTTTCTTTTATATCACTGGAGTTCTATGACACATATTTGCAATTTCCTCTTACTATCTTGTTCATGGACTCCCAATTTTTATGTGCATTTCTCTAGTGAATGCACATTTAAGATATTCACAAAGACTGAGCATATCTGAACCTCTTTAAGATAGGTGGTCCATCTTTTCAACCAACCAGCCCCAAAGGGAAGAAGGATTCTGATATCTGAAGAAGTTTGATGACCTCATCTCATGAGTCCCCTGTCATTTTGATGGAGGTAGCAGTGTTGTCATATTTGGCAAGCTGGCATGTGTGGCTGCTTGCCAAGCTGTAGCAAGTTCACTTTCCATCCTGTTATTCTTGTGGAAACGTAACGCCTTCCTGACTGGTGTTGAGACCTTTGTACAGGACTTCAATTTTCCTCCTTCAATGAAACTTTCTCCAACATGCTCTCCTTCAGTTGTGTTGGACTTCTGCTCTGAACAGCCATGCTGAAGAGCATCAAAGTTCACTATACTAGTGAACTGCCATCATGAGAGAGATCCTTTTGCTATGCCATCTTCTTCCCTGAAAACTCTGTTTCATCTACAGACCTTCTAGGAAAGGAAAAATGTAATCTGGCAAGTCTGTTTCCCTGTGGACAGCCCTGGGAGGAAGAGGTGGTGTGAACTTTGTAAAGAGATTGTATTCTGTGAATCTTCTTTGTCTCTCCTGCCTCTCTTAGACAGTCAGTTTGTTTTCCAGAAGAAAGGCTGTTTTTAAAGCTAGTGGAGAATTGAACTGTATCAGCAATTTTGGGGCACAAGGACAGAAAGGGCTTATTATAAAGCAGATTTCTACCTTCTTATCTATTTCCTCAGTATTCAGCATAATGAATAACTCCATGTCCATGTTTTTGCAGCATACTGTTCTACATTTCTTCATATCAGCCTTGGCCTTTGCACAGAGTGTAACGTGTTGTTAATAGCCTTGCACAAACATCCCTTTTCAGAGCCTTAGTCTTTTGCCAGTAGCATTTTTTGGAGACCACAAAGACCACATCCTGCACCTTGACCCTTTCCATGGGTCTCTTAAGCTGTGGCTACTTGCAGTTCAGCACCTTGTCATGTTCCTGATGGCACATGATCCACCAGGTGATGATAATGTTTCCTTACAGCCAGTTCTTCCTCCATTCCATATGGTGTCCAGAGTGATAATCATGACAGAGTTTCTCAAATGCAGTGTTATATGTTATTGAAGCCAAATGTTGTGGTGCAGGAATGAGTGGGAAGAACCATAGCTAAGTGGTAGAGCATATACTTTGTATGCAGAAGGCACCAAGGTTAATTCCTGGTATGCCCAATTCTCCTCCTTCTCCTCTTAAAAGAGAATGGCGTAACACTTAATATCATATGAAATACTTCTGTCAGAGACCCAGGAGACCCTAAACCCTTGAAGGCAACTCTCAGGCAACACTGAATTATGGGACCAATTGATTGCTTCATATGGTCCTAATTATACAAGATAAAATAGAAGCTTTACCCCAACCTGGCTTCTGGAGGGGGCGGGGGAGAGAGATCT